TCTTTTATATCAGTGAGTGGAATGGCTGATGTTCGATATTTAACTTTATCTGTAATTTCAGCCGATACCGATACCATGCTGATAATATTGTGCATTCCTAATATCATTATTCAAGTTGACCTGAGCCTGAAATGTGTGAAACACCTGCTCTTACATGATGTTGATTGGGCCAACAGTATGTCCCCTCCCATGGAGGAACCCTTACATAGAAATCTTATTTTAGTACATAACATTTTGTCCGATTCATTTCAGGTAAAATACAATCATCTCAAACAATAAATGAGATCTGTAGACATATCGACTCTCCTATAAGGTTAAAGTAAAGAGACGAGAACCTCATTTTGCCTTTTTGTCTTTGCTGAAACACTGTTTCACTTTAAACAGCTCATTTTTATTCTTCTATACCAGGGGTGGGCAAACTTTTAGACTCGCGGGCCACACTGAGTTCTAAAATTTGAGTGAAGGGCCGGGCCAGGAACAGATGGATGGAGTGTTTGTGTGATGTTACACCCCAGCGCAATAACAGCCGCCGGGACGCTATTAAATATGGGTGATTCCATTTTCTGCACCACTCAATCAGCCACCAAGTCAGGATTATATGATAGAACAGTGATTTTATTTACAGTAGTGAAATTATTGACTTTGTGGAGTCTTACCAACTTCAGGCCAAAACAACAAACAAAACAAACCATTGTATTTTCAGTTAACTGAAGAAAAATAAAATGAACCAAACCACAAGTCTCTTACCTCACTATGCTAATGGAATACAGGAGAGAAGTCGAAATAAAGTGGCAGCTCACCTCTAAAAACTCCTCCCAAAACTTTTTACAACTACAGGATCTAAAGTTGATGACAGGTGAACTGGTTGGGAATGGAAGCAGACATCCTCCTCCTCTATGCAGCATCAAAACAGAATACCTGGACAATAATTCAATAATTCATAATTTTGAAAAAGCACGTTTTTACAGACGAGTTTGTAGGGCAACGTAAAAATAAAAGCATAGAAGAAGAAATTACTTCCTCTCTACTTGCCTCTAATACATGCCAGTGTCTGTAGTGTGCCTCTACTGGTGAAATGCTGGAACTACAGGTAAAACGACACCAGTTTTTCTTTTCCTATTAAATTCAGTTTTTTAAATATTATTTGAACCAGTCGCGATTTTAACCTCTTTTTGGGGGGTGCTTAAGCACCCCTAAATTTTACCTCAGCACCCCAGAAAAATAAAGTATTAATTTTTATTTATTTATTTTTAAATTTTTCTATTGCCCAAATTTTGGACATTTTCGGCGGGCCAACTAAAAAGCCCAACGTATACGGCCCGCGGGCCGGGGTTTGCCCATGCCTGTTTTATACCGTCATGTAACTATGCACGCGCTGCTTCTTGTATGTTTGATAAATGCAAACAAGCAGAAGTTTGGGTCAATGCCTAATAAAATTGTGCAACATGAAAACGTAATTGTGAAAAGCCAACACAGACAAGAGATATTTTGCATTGGTGTCCTGGTTTATGGGTGCATGCTGTGTCTGGGGTTAAACAGAAAACGTGCGCGGACAACACTTTGACATGAGTTATTCCATTAACGCTGCTTACAGGACTTTTGGCTAGTGGTCGCTAGCCACCTACTTTTAATATTTTTGCCCTTCGAGCTTTTTGGGATCCTTCTACGCTCGTGTGGCAGCATTCCAAAAGCTTCTCAGAATACAAACATAAATCCAAGACCAGCTGCTTTGCTTTACACATAACACCAGCCTCCTGTGAAGGCTGGATTAGACCAAAGAAAATGTGAACTCTGTTTCTGGACAAAATTCAGCCTCTTTGTTTGGCCTCCCTGCTCTCGTCTCTTGGCTCCTGCAGCCTCCGGCTCTCCTCCCCTCCTGCCGCTCCATGCTTCAGTCCTGGTAGGTTTTCACCAGCAGCCACATGAGCAGCACCGTGATCAAGACGATCATGAAGTTGAGGAAGAGCTCCTGCGTCGAGCGGTCCATGGTGGAGGTGCGGGTGAAGAGGTATGTCTCCTTTTGGAGGCACAGGACCTAGAAATGAAACATGGGTGATCACAACACATATTTTACTTGGAAATAGTCATAAACACGAGTAAATCATAGTTGAATAAATCGGTAACTGTGTTTGTTGTGGCACACGTTCTCTGCTGGACGCTCTTGCTTTAAAACTAACCAGCAGGACTTTAAGGAGGACAAGATGTATTCATATAATCAAAACTTAAGTATATGTAAAGTCATGTTTTTATCATTGAACATTAAAATCAGATTAATACTTGTTTCTATTCTACAGATGTTTTAATCTAACCCAACATGAACTGAACCATATTGCAGGATTAACAAGAGCAGTACCAGAAACCGGATGTAATTAAACTCGTACCTTGTCTATTTGTACAAAGACCTCACTCTGACCTGGACCTTCCTCTTCCTTTTTGCTGAACTCTTGCGAAGCAGCTAACGCCTCTGTGGTCGTACTTCTCTGCAGCACCTGCAGCTCCACCGTGCTCCAGATTTCAGCTGTCAGCAGGGGCAGGTCCTGCTGCTGAAGTACCCCTCCACACCCTCAGTGGACCGCCCATGGCTTACATAAACACAGACTGATGTCACACACCCACTAAACCACCACTGGAGTCACTTATTGTCCACAGTATCATCCGCTGGAGTATTTTCCATCTATAATCATACTGAGTCTCTCTCTCACATACACAAGCACACACACAACAGCGAAGAGTTATTTTTACGACCTTATTGCGGATACTTGGGAGGATTACAGTCACTCCAAACACAATACAGTACTTGTATGAACTGATGGATGAAGGCAAGTGTAACCGTATCGCTCAGAGTCCAGGCAGGAGCTATGCTTTGAGGAGAGAAGAACATCAGGTCAGCTACTCCAAAATAAAACACGCGTGGCAGGTTGGCTTTAGAAACAGCTGAAGCCAAAGTCTCGTCCGTCTGTCAGATCAACTGTGGGCTTCAGCACAAGCAGAGGTGCTGTGGTACTCGTACACAAACATCAACCGCCTTTAAGTCTTTGTGAGACCAACGCTATTGTTAAAAAAGTGTAAAAATTAAAATTACTTTTTTTACACTATATATAATTTACAATATGATACATTACAATGGGTTGCAATGCAGAAAAATGGAAATAATACAATGCACTATGACGTAGTACAAGAAGATACTATAAAATAAGATGTATGATTCAACACATTATGATATATTATGTTACCATACATTATGACAAAATACACTATATCCTTCCTGTTCCCTTTAGGAAATGTGTTTTGGACTTTATATTTCAGATTACTAAAACAAGCGTGTAAAAGTAAGGAACAAGTTCTGGAACAAACTCAGTCTTTGTAAAGCTGAGGAAATCCCCTCAAAGAATCCTTTGAAAGCAGAGACTTCGCCTCGTCTGCTGACCGTGGAAGAAAGAGACATGTAAAAACCACGAGGAGGAGGCAGGTGGGCTGGGATCAAAAATTCCACTAAACTGTGAAGGACCAAGAGGTTTCCTCCTTTTCATTTATGTTTTAATTGTATGTATTGCTTTACTTCACTTTAGTATGTAAGCATTTCTGTTCTAATAAACTGTGAAGTAAGTAAAGTGCTATGTGTTTTCATTGTATGTTGTCATACGATGATGAAATTAGTTCTCTGCATTTAACTCATCACAGCTGAGGTACACCCAGGCGGAGCAGTGGGCAGCTGTGGAAGAACCCGAGGAGGAATTGGGGATTAGGTGTCTTGCTCAGAGACACCACTACATGTGGGAATGGCTGGGGATCGAACCTGGAACTAGGCCTGCATGATAACATTATGCGATTTATTGTCTCAGAAATTATTGCGATAAACGCTAATATTCTTTGAAATTTGACAATAATTAGTAATTATTGTATATTTAAGAAGAAATGTTAATTAGTTTTGAGTGTACTACCTTATTTGACCACCAGATGGTAGTATAAGGCTGTTTGAACCAAAGGATTCTTTAAGAAAAATGGGAGGGAGGCCCCTTGACATGACATGGGCTGTCTCTCCTTCCTGTTTTTTCTGGTTCTCAAAATGGCGGACGCTCGGTGTGGTTTGAGCTCTTTAGCATAGCATTTGTCACTCAAAGCTTTTAATAAAAAAATCAGTAAACATGTTTTCAGCTACTTTTTTCAGAGAAAAACAACTTTTTACACAAAGGCACAGGTTTCAACCGTAAATTTTGGAGCTTCGACAAGACAGAGGTTTTTTCCCCCGAGGTCAGCCTGTTAGCTTAGCTCGTAGCTTAGCTTCTCAGCTTAGCTGCTTTTATCGATCCAAAAACGTGATTTTGGACGGTTCAAACAGATTTTAAAGAGAAAAGAGAAAGTGAGGGGTCAGTGAAGAACACAGTAGTTGAACCTTGTCATCCAGTGTCTTCAGTAGAAAGAGAGAGACATGAAGAAAAGATAAAGCCGATAAATGAAAACAAGGTTGATAATTTTAATTTATCATACGATTAATTGATTTATTGTTTATTGAGACAGGTCTACCTGGGACTTTCGTGTCCCGGGTCAGCTGCCCTGCCTCTGCCCCATCTTGGCTCCCTGAAATGTTGGTCCAAATTAAATGCACCCCAACCTAAAAGCCATGAAGCTGTAAAGATGTTATCACATACTGGCAAGCGCGCCTTGCAATAGATATTCTTCATAAATGTAGTTTGTCTCTGTGTTTTGTCCAAAGGTTTGAATTTTCCATGTTTGTACGTCTTCCTCTCATCCTGGCTCACACAAAGTGGTCTGGACCGTTCAGCAGCAGCATACCTCTCAGCTCATGTCACACTTGACAGCTGCTGAGAACAGCGTTATCTCCACACCGGTGTTAAGCTCCCTCAACATGCGCGCCTTCTCCTGCGCACAGGGAGGGCAAAGCAGGACAAAGCACGAGCACGGGTCCCTTGAATTTTTCCATCAGAGAATTCCAAGGTCATTCCCAGAGGATTTGACGGATCAAAGTGGCTGCAACGCTCTCTCCCTGCCGCTGTGCCAGGTTCAGAGCGATGGATGTTTGACTCGGGGGTTCCCATTGTCATGGATGGTGCTAAGGTAACTGAAGAATGTGAGGCAGGGTGTGGGAGCCTCTGATTTCAGGGTGGACCAGGTCCCACTCTGGCAGCTGTGAGCACATTTAAGACAGACGTGCGCTGGCAGGGATACGGTGTGAATCAGTGGAGAGACGTGGAGCGTCAACAAGGCCTCATGACACTGTTCACTGCAGGATGACACAAGTGTGTGTGAGAGGAACTAACGTATATCGTGCAGTGACAGCCAGCGGATTGAAAGTTTCCACAAGTGGGTGTGAGAACAGGATTTGAACTGAAAAGCCGAGCGTTCTTCAAGGGATGCACGTCACCTCTGACCTTCATGCTGGAGATTTAAACTAAGACCATGTCGTGCTGACAAATGAAAATAACATTCTATATACAGGCTGATGCAATAATGTGAGAAGTCATGCACAAAGTGTGTGTTGAGGACGGCTCGCTGCTACGGCCACATCAACTGGTAGCTCAATATGTGTCAGACTGACTGAATTATAGGCTTTATTGTGTGGACTAATGTTGATTTGCTACGGCGAGCATTTTGAATATCGGCTTCAAAAGTTAAACAGCTTTAGCTGTATATCCAGTTAATAATTCCTGAAAGCTTAATTGAAATATATCTAGTGGTTCGTGAGATATTTTGCTAACAGACAAACGGCGTTGGCTAACAAATTTTGTTGTTTTAAACAAAAATATTGCAGAATGAGTAGAAAATAGAGGATTATGTATTTTTCATGACTCGGCTATAACTACACCAAATTTTAGAACAAAAGCTGTAAATTTCACAGTTATAGCCGTTTTTTTTTTTTTTTTTGTGCTTTTCAAGCTCAGTCGACTGTAGCATCCATCTTGGATCAGGTCCACTCCAGAAGGTGAACAGTTGCAGAGGCACATCCAGCGAACACTTTCATTAAAATCCGTCCAGTGGTTCATGAGATTCCTTGCTAACAGATAGATGTGTTACATGCTCGCCCACCTCGGCCTTTCAGTGGGCGAAGTGTTTGTTGTGGAGTCCAACAACAAGCTGCCCCACTCTGGCTGCTCGTCTCCACCACCCCCTCCACGTCCTGCAGACTTTAATGACTCCAGTCTGTGGAAGCTATTCGAGGACGTGTCCTTACACCGAGCCCCTGGAGAACTTTACATCTCAGCAGCACTATTTAAAAAGAGGCCATCTGCTTCGTTAGTCCCTCCGTCTTTGTTAAATGAATAAGATGCCTGTAACACGAGTTTACCTCCAGGCCATGTGTTCCTCAGGGTGATGACAAACATCAGCTCACATGCGTCGGTGCTTCAACACTTGGTTGTAGGTGAAGCTGCCCTTCAGCGCTGCAGGCCAAGAGACGGCATCTTTTCACGTCGGCTGGTGGTAAGGCCTTATATTTTACACATGCGCTCCTTTTCAAAATTGTACGTACAAACTTTTAGCTTTTTAATCAAGGTTTTATTTATTTAAATATAATTTAAAACGACAATCAGATGCCGTATTTTTTCAGATTATAAGGCGCATTAAGCGAAACAAATAAGTCAAACTTTATTCAAATCATTCACAATAAACACATAAAATTGGTTCGAGGTCGGTAAGCACAACCAGAATTAACACATAAGGCTCACTGTCGATTTGTGAGACAATTATAAGATTTAAAGTGTGCCTTATAGTCCGAAAAATACGGCATATAAAACATGCCAACTATGAAAATAGATATTTTTTGAACCGGTAAAGTAAGTTGTTTTGTTTAGCAGTTAATTCTGTGCAGCAGAATTAACTGACTGTCTGAACATGTGATATTAGTAAACAACAAAGAAGGATTAATATTACCTGCTGCTGAAGGCATAAGACAACAACGTCTTCATGTTTGCTTGTCTGTTAGCAAAATAGCTCATGAACCAGTGGAAAGATTTTATCATTATATGAACA